GAGACCTCCCATTACTTGGTTAAAAGTCAATTTGTTATACCTCATTTTCAGGGGCGTAAAGGACCTGGACAAGGTGCTGACCAAAGTTTGTTTTCCAATGTCATGAGACTTCAGTACTGTAACGGAAGTTTCTTGTTTTGATGCCAGAAAAGAGCCAAATTAAATGACGCTCATTTTTATGCGATGTGAATACCATTTGTTTAAATTATTAATCACTACATTTGATCCTTTGAGTAGTGTACAAATGCAGATAGACTTGCTGCTTCTCTGAAAATTAAGATTGAGTCCTTTCCTTGCCTTTTTGTGAATCAATGCCTAAGATTCTGATGAGGATCCCTCATGGAATCTTGGAAACTGTTCCTCCTCAGTGAATGAGGCGAGGACTGGCATCTATCTGAGTTACTTCCTCTCCCTGACATTCTCATGAATCATCTCTGTGAAGTCCCATAGGATCTTGGCCTCCACCTTCCTTCTCTCCAGGTTGAAGGACGCGAGGGCGCTCTTCTCATCAGCATCGTGGTTTGCTTCTCCTCGGGCATACCCTCAGCTTTCATATGAGGAGGTCTGGGGAAGAAATTAATCATAGAAGGAACTAGGTTGCAGCAGAAATTAAGACATTTCTTCAAAAATTATAGGATCCTTGGCTTCTACTTACGGCTTGTAATAATGGGCAATATTATGAGGAAGAAAAATTGAAATGTGCCGGGTTAGAATTTTAATAATAAAAAGACCAACAGGGCCAAATAATGTTTGATGGACAACTGCCACAGTTGCCCCCAATCCATCTTCTTTGATGTAGAGCAGTGCTGCACAGCAAATCATGAAACCCCAGCTGACAAGGCAGCCTTTTGCTCATGGTTATTAATAATGGAGACTTTTCTTAAATTATGCCCGTGCTGTTGTCGGTCTAAAGGTATTTCATATCTATGATTAGATGCTCCATTTCATGAGTTTTACTATTAGACCAATGAAACCCAAATTGTTCCTTGAACATGTCTCAGGAAATGTGGACCATTGATCAATGGTAATTTGTCATGAAACAGCAATAAACCATGAAGTAAAAGGAACTTTAGGCCAGGAAAATGTGAACAATGCCAGTATAGTGGGTGCACTCAACTAGCTTGCCCGGATTACAAGCGTTTAACCTCATCCCTATCGTCTTGCTTGATTGACACAATGCACACAACCAACCATAGGTCAGGGTTGCCCTAAAAGCTAGCCACAAGCACCCAAGGGTGGATCCAGGACCCAATTTTTTTTAGGGACAGGGACAAACTTGATTCTGGGGGCCAAATTTTTGTTTTAATTTTTAAAGTTGTTTGAGGGGTAAGGCTACATTTCCACTTTTCAAAGAAGGGAAATAAAATAAACCAAAACGATCCTTTAATTTTTTTCAATGAAAACAATTTTTGCTCCTTTTTTGGCCACGACCCCAATTGACCCCTCCCCCTTTCGCAGATTCATCCTTGCAGAAAGCCAGCAATGATATGAAGCACGGGAATCTTACCTGTCCTACTTATGATGTAACCTGCCTCTTCACTTTGAAGATTTCATCGGTCAGTCCACTCGCACCGCGTGACGCTAGCCAGCCTAAACAAGTGCAGCCATGACAGTACATTCACCTGGCAATGAGGCCTTCCAAAATCTGTCACAGGGAAATATGGCAAAAACAACAAGAAAATTTCACCTAAGGTTGTTTTCGTGTATTTTTCCCAAGATTTTCAATGACTGTGGGAACCCCGTACAAAAAGGACAAAAGTACTGTACATTCTATCATTTGCAGTTACCCAAAAGGTGTCCAAAATTGTTGTTGAAAAGCACACTTACTTGGTTTAGATACTAAATTCTGTGAGAAACTGTTCTTTCTGGCAAACGGTCATCATGAAGAAACAATAATTTTAAGCAGGCGCCTTCTCAGAAAAGAGACAGATTGTAAAAGAGAGCCACTACAGCCCTACAGTACGTGTGAGTCTTAGAGGCAGAAATAGCCTACTCATTTTCACAGAAATGGGCACACGTGTTATTAGCCAGCGTGTGTAGGCATGCCTAGTGTTGATCCTAGTCCAGCGTGTAGGATTAGTCTCAATGGTCTTTTCCAATGCTCCAAGTCTCATCACTGTGCACTCTCACTTGAAGAACTAGGCCTATGAATTTTATTCCTGTAAAGTGTGGAATAATAAAAACAAAATCTGTTGTACTTACTCCATCAATGTCATCACGTAGGCGTGCCATTAGTGATTCCTCAAAGACTAATTTCATAAATTTCATGATATTATGATACACGAAGCCGCAACAATAACGGATAAAGCGACCACCGTGCGTTCAGTAGCTGGTCCCAGACTGGGGGGGGCCAGTCTACCGGACTCCCTCCGTATCTGTACTGTCCAGTGGCAGTAGACTGTCCCCCAATCTGGGGCTAACTTCACACGTGCACGTGTGCCGCGCCACCGCACCCACGTGTTGTTTGCAGTGTGTCTGGTAGCCTTAGATCAAGGCGCCCGCGGCGAAATGGATAGTCAAGTCTACACGACGAACTGCATGCAGTAGCCGAGCTGTGTGTGTCGGGCGCATGCGTGCGGTTCGTCGTGTCGTCTTTCTTCGTTCGTTGATTTGGTACTTAAACTGGTCTCCTCAAGCTCCTATCCTCACTCTTGATCGACTATCCATTTCGCCGTGGGCGCCTTGATCGAAGGCTATGTGTCTGTCCGTAGTCGGTCCGCACTACTACGGGGTTAGCCTTGCAAATTGGACTTTTTTACAAATCTGTCCAAAATGTAATTTTTAGCCGGAGAGTATTTTCAAAGTGTATTTAGGCCTTAATATTTCTTTTTAGGTCGGAAGAATTTTTACGCAATTTTCAGCCAATTCAAACCTTCTCATTTTCAGCTTAAAATTCAATAAAACGACAAGAAGATAGCCTTGCAAGGGGTAAACCTTGTTTTAATTAAAATTTGGCCAAAATTTCACTTTTCTCCAAATACTTCCAGAGTGTGTTTTCAGCAAAAAAACGTACTCTTAGCATTTTAGACCTTTAGAGTTCTTTGTTCAAAAGCAGAATGATACGCAAGATTTCAGGCAAATTCAAAATGGGTCATTTTTCGGCTCAATATAAAACTACAAGGGGTTATCCTTGCAATTTATTACAGTTTGGGCCAAAATCCAGCTTTTAACTTTTCTATACAAGTCTTCAATTTATAACATGACGAGAAATGTATTTTTGAAGTACTTTCACTGAGCAAAAGAAAGAATTTGTTGGGTATTGTTTGAGCAGATTCATGCTAATTTCCTTACCAACATAACCTCCCAAAACGCTGTAACTTCACCTCATGTAATCTTGAAATATAAATTCTGCCTTTTGTGCACTTTGCAAGCAAGAAAGCCAAAACAAAATAAAACAAAAGACAAAATACCGCTGCATTAGGATAAACATTATTACATTTTATGAGTCCAAACTTGAAATGGAACAAGAAAAGAATTCTGGGTTTACTTGTCCAACAGCTTTCACACCAGGCCCACAAATTTACCCTTCTTATTTCAATCAAATAAATCAGTTCCTTCGCATTATAATTTTGATTAATCGAATAAGCTTTCTGTTTGTTTATTTTTTTACATAAATTTAAATGTTGAAAATAGGTGTGGCCAAAATCGGCAAAAGAAGAGGTCCCTGATGAGATGGCTGAAAGGATATCTTTACAATGAAGTGTCCTTGAATAAATTTGATCGACGCAGACTCCTTTTGGAAAAACTTTCAATGGTGGAATGTTTGAGAGAGGCCTTTGACCATTCTCTGGAATCCTCCGAAAAGAAGCCCTTTTCACACAGGTTCTTGATTATTTAACACAAAACTTTACCTCATCAACGGACACTGGATTGATCAAGCCACCAAATTATACATGCGGGCGTAGTTTTCAATTAACACCAGTGTACATATATAAGCAAGTTGCATGAATATTATTTAATAAGATCAAATTTTCCCCTTTAAGATCATTTAACCCACCACACTTACAGATAAAAAAGATAATAATTTTCATACACATTTAAACAGACTGACTAACTATGGAAAAAAAATATACATATGTTAATCATGTGCGCCTTTGTTATAGAAACTTTGAACATCAACTGTGAGAGAAGAATTGGAAAGCTCAGCCTAAAATCATCAAAACAAAGTTCATTCATAAAATACTAGTGTTAAAGCGCTCTGTGTTCTTTTACATGTAATCATTTATTGCATGCACAACCACTATCACAGACACCTGCAGTTCAAAGAACCAAAGACGTAAAAATATTTCAATAGTCGATTCAAATCAATGAGCAAGTCATCAATTAAGAACCAAGTACTTTCAATTTTTATTACATATCCAATATGTTCAAAATTACTTGACATTTTTCTCTTATTCACAACAGTCTTCGACTGCAACAAGACAGTACCCATGATTGTGGTTGCGCACTGATGTATTCACTCTCTCCTTTTTTAGCTGAAGACATACAACCAAGTAATATCCGATACTTCAATTATTGATTATTATTTGACACTGCTGTTCAGGTAAGGTACTGACACTACCTTAATACAGGGCCTATCCTTTTTCGTGAGATCTTTCCACTAGAGCAGCATCGGCGACACTAATTGACCACTTACAGCACTGCAGGCTCAAGTGGCATTCATAGTGAGAAACTGGACAGTCCGGGGTATTCTTGCACAAGGCACTTAATAAAACAGGCAAATCCAAATAAATAAACATCACCATGTTAACTAGCCCATATTTGACTCTTACGTGAACGAGCAAGGAATACGTTACATTCTGTTGCATGCTAAAGTAATTCAACCTATTCCAATTACGACCAACCAACAGAAATATACCAGTACAGCGTACACCAACTTCCCTGCGGCTTGGAAAAAAAGCCAATATGAAAAATATATAATTTTATAGACAAGCTGGTATTCGTATTTCACAACTACTGGACCCTTTCTCAAAGAATTAAATCCTGATCAGGTTGAAATCTTGGGTGCTGGTAAGTGGTCGACTGGCCCATCAGCTCTTCTCCAGCTTTTTTACGATGCAGCGGTTCCGCGGATAGTGCAATCTGGATGCCGACTTGTGTCAGGCAAAATAATGTTGTGACACAAACGAACATAGCAGTTGCAATGATGCACTTTGCACTGAGAGCGGACATGCGCACCTAGTGCGCCCATCATGCTTCGTGCTGGAGTGGCACTCCACCCATGCACCTGCAGGCACCGGCTGCCAAAACTGCTCTCAATATTCTAGAGACTGGTACCCGAGCAATGGTATGCAGTGAATTTGGATGGAAGGGGACGTGAAACTTCTTAACAATATACAAAAAAAGAACTGGTGGTCTCCAAAACATCCGTATAAATCTTCTTTAAACCCAGGAACCCTAAACCTTTTAAAAGTATCTATACGACTGTATACAACTGATGTTAAAAATCATCATAGCTACCGACGTTTCCCCAAATTGCTATGGAATGTTTGATCTACCTACGGTAATGCTAACGAGGTCCACGATGACTGGTGTTCAGAACATGTTCAGGATGTGTCTCCACATCAGTTGGTGTGTTCACAGCATGTTTGGGCGGTATATTCACAGTTCATGCCTGATGACTGCACTGTGTCCAATGGTGCCAAACGAGCCGCAGGTACCCCCCCTCAAAAAAAGAGATCATTGCCTGAACTCACCACAAACAGTAGGGGGGGTTAAGAAAATAATAAGAAATCAAACCTGCAAGAATCTAATCAATAAATACTGAATCGCTAATAAAGAAAAAAAATTCTGCAGCTAGATTGGATGAGTTTTACATTAACTAAACACTGAACCTGTTCTAGACCCTAAGCCACACACTAACTATGCAAGGTAAGGTCTTGCATTCACCCACAAAAAAGACGGCAATTTTCCCAAACTTGGCATCTGGAACCATCAGATAAGGTGTCAAATTAAACTGCAACAAAAGCTCAATACTGACTGGGTGAATTCGATACAAATGGTCGCTCATCACCGAAACAGCTAGATCTGACACACTTTCCTTGGGGACATCTGTACCCCGGGAACTGGGTATCAGCACCGCCTTAAGTCTCTCCCATTTCAGCAAGAGTTTTCAAGATGGAAACGTGTAAATCCAAAATATACAACACTTCATCTTCCAACTCATTCGATAAAAACATTCTTGACATTCAACTATTAAAAAGAGTGATTTCATTTCTAAATGTCATACACAAAAAAAAACCCAGGTTGGTAAGAACAGAGCAACCCTCTGCTACACCAACTGTCAAGAACAGTTCCCTCTTTGCAAGTGCACTTTTTAGTCCATTTAAACAGTTAGAGATACTTTACAACATTACAGACTGAAAAATACACTTGCAGAAAATCTTCCTTTTTTGGTCTTGAGGATTAATTTTTCTTCTGCCTTTGCTTGTGGTGCCCGAGAGTTAAAATGTACATACATTATGCCAACCGTGCTGCGCAGTTTCAAAAAAGTTGAGCTGATGCTGGTTCGTACCAAGCTGTATTGCACGGTTGCTGCAGCATTTTCAAGAAACAGGCAACATGCTTGTGCAGCAACACTCTAGGGTCTCATTTTAATTGCTTGCATGTCCACAGCATGCATCGTTGAACACCACTGGATTATATGATAAACGTGCATTGATAGCGATGAACGATCGGGCTACTTGTCCAATTCTCTTCAAGGATAGGATCGTCCCAAACCGAAGGTACTTTTTATAAGCTCATTATATCTGTGACCGCATTTAAAGCCTTCAAAATTTTTTTTTAAGTGGGAAGAAGGAGAAACCTATCCTTAGAAGAGATCTAGCTGTTTCTTTATCAGAAGCGATTTCCATGAAGAAAAAAATCTGCGGCGCCTCTTCAGACACCAACACCTGCATGTTCATCCATCTGTGACACGGTATCTCAAGATGTCCCCAGAGTTCAAAGGTAAATGTTTGTAGAGACACAAGGTGTGCGCACTCTTGGACTGAGTTTGGTGTCGTGAAGAGCTGCCAGTGGAAGTCCTTTTTCTCTTCTATTTTACATGACAAGTTTCTTGGGCACTTCCCACGAGAACCCCTCCTTGAAGTGGCCATAGGAAGCCGTCTTTTGGTAGATTGGACGGCGAAGATCCAACTCCCTGGAGGCCAAACGGGGAAGGGAAAAAAAAAGGTGACCGTTTCAAAGTTAGTTCCGATGAGCGGCATGGGCACTGAGTCTTTGAAGAGCTATAATAAGCTCTCCTGGACTAATCTATTTTGGGCCGAAAATCCTGACCTCAGAAAAAGGACAGATATGCCAGCCTCCAACGTTCTTCCGTGGGGCTTGATGCTCCTTGGAGGTCAAAAGAATATGCCACCGGTTGAACGTGCAGTGGTAGGTCTTCAAAGACTCAGGTAGGTTTGAATCAAGAACACATGGGGGGAAGGGGTTTCAGGTCAAAGTTCAAGGGATTTTCTTCATTTACTCCATATCTTCTTATCTGGCTATAAGCGTGCGAAAAACTAACCTGTTAAACTGAACAAACACTGGACATTTCTATCCAAAGCTGATATGGCAACTACAGTACCAGCAAATCCATCATTATGGAGTGATTAGGATAACAAACTAACAACCTGCTCATAGAATGGGCTGTTGGGATGGGGCAGGGAAATGAACAGACATAAACTAAAAAAGGTGAATACCTGTTTGCTTCGAGTACAAAGAACGGTATACGGGCTCCCTCTGTGTTTCGTTTTGTCTTCGCTAAGATTCCAAAATTTTTGTCAAGCAAAGAAACGCCAAGCAGACTGAAAACAGTTCCATTATTTATTTGCTCGGCTCTTTCCAAAACAAATTTGGCAGGAACAGTGACCTTCACTGCTTTGAAAAACTGGTTTACTTCTCTCTTCTGAGGAAAATAAGGCCACATCCAAATCACATGGCTACGGCTTGAAGTTACACGACTCTATGGGAACCGGCTGCAGCTACTTCAAGAGACTTATACAATATTTCAGACCAAAGGCGAGCAATTCAGACACACACTAATACTTTCTGAAGACTATTACAGTCGAATCTCCATATAAAGTCCACTCTTACAAACAGAACGTTATTTAAAGTGCCCTTAATTCCGTTGGTTTTTGTAAGTATTCTCGTAACCAGATTCTTGTTATGAAAATATACCTTTGCTGTTCCAAACAACCTTGTAACAAATTCTGACTGAACTGAGAGCCTTTTCTGCACTTGAATTCATTCCAAAACCATGATTTAAACCATTGATTTTTTACCTGATGATAGCTCCTGGTCGCAGATCAAAGTTGTCACTGATGATCTTCAGCAGCTCCTTTTCTGACTTGTCGGAGGTTCCATAAGACCAGACAAAGACAGACAGAGGTTCTGAGATACCGATTGCATAGGACACCTGCAGCAAAATAACAGCAGAATGAAAGATGTCTCACATCACACTTTAATTCTGCTCATCGGAGAGCAATTCCGTACGGTTACTTCCACTGAACAAAGACAGAGTACCGTTTAAAATGCTGTATTGGATTGTATCGGACAATTTTGAAGACAAAATTGACCCTTCACAATTATTTTTGCTGAGAAAATATCATACAAAATTGGCCCGCGTTTCAATTTTTTAGCTCCACACACTGCACACCTATCAAAGCCCTGTGCCAGATGGGCCATGAAGTGCCCACTGCAATAGAAGCAGGGCTCTGACAATGCTCACAACAGGCACTGCACTGGATTGGTAATGTGCAAATAACACTGTTGGCTTGCACTGACAAGGAAAAACCACTCGTTACAAATTAAATAACCTGTTCGTATATATGGAAATTCAAAACCCTAAAAGAGGAAGACCCACAACTTTTCTTCATCAGTCGTTCCCTTTTTAACTGTGATGTCAATTAATTAAATTGCGTCATTTGCATACCATAAATTAGTTTCATAAATGGTTTTGATGCTCAATATTAGCAGGGGTGAGATTGACCAATGATAAACCTAGCTGAAAACAGCTGAAAAAAGGCATCAAGAAGCTGAACTGAGAATATCTCCTTTACTTCTGTACACAGCCAGTGAGGAAAAAAAGCTGAAATCCGAAACAAAAAAAGCTGCAATCAGCTAAAAAGCTGAGAAATCTCACCCCTGTATTAAGAAGAAGAGAGCAGTCTAACTGAAAATCAGAAGGGAACACTTTCCTTTGTAAAAACATCCTTATAAAGGCAAATAATACCCTTGTACCAAAAAAGGCTGTCTTTGTTCCACTTTCAAAATAAAATTGTATTGCAGAAAGGTTTCACAGATATGTAAGAGATTTTGGCTGTTCTGTCATGCCTCATGAAACAAAGCCTTCAACAAGTGGCTCTCCATACATCCAGAAGAACCAAAATGATAATACTTCTGAACCGACACGAACTTTTCAGAAATAACAATTTTTTAAAAAATCTATTACACACCAAATTTACTAGCACTTCCACCCCTCCTCCAATATAAACAAATGACTACAGAGATGACGACAGTGGTCTTTGAAATTCTATTTGACAGAGGGAAGTTCTGCGTCATTCGTTTGTCCTGGTGCTCTTTGGTGATACCTGGACTTTGGAGCAGTCTATTTACACATTCACCAAAGAGTGTTGTATCTGCATTAAATGCACTATTAATACAGTTATCTAGGTAAACAGATCATTTTGTTGACAGATTACGGTTGAAATCCTTTTTAATGTCAGGCAACACACCAAGCTTGTTACAAAACCGCGACAAGTTCCAATGCGCGTTGATATTTAAAAAGCAACTGGTCCATTCTTTCCACTGTCTCATCTTTTCAGCGTGGCACCACCTTGGGGGCGGAGGAGAGAGGATAAAAATTATATCCAACAGTAATTCTGATCTGCCACTGGACCAACTCATGGAACCGGTCGGCTTGTCACATAAAGGTGGGCACTGCTGTGTACTAGCTGGGACTGGCCAATGGAATCATGCACCTTGAGGAACCAACCACTTCCAAAAGGCCCATGATAAATTTACAACGAATTTGACCAAGAGCAGAACAACTTCCTAAATCCCTTCCATTTCAAACACACACGCGCGCACTTGACATAAACATGACTCAAGAAACTGTTCTGTCTGATAATACCAAGAGGCTACTGCAAAGAAAAACTGGTACAAGTTCCAGCTTAACATTGCCAAAGCTTTGATCATTCCAGCTCCGGGTCCTGGGGTTGGGCCAATGGGAAGTAACAGAGTCCGACAGCTGAAGCACGTCCGACTATGTTCACGGTTCATATCGCCCCAAAATCCAACACACACACTCACTGCCTACAATTGGTTTTTGCAGGATTTGAGTTCAGCTTTTGTGAGTGCAATTTTTTTTTAACACAACCTTTCTGTCTCCTCTAGGCTAAGATGCACCATCTTTGAACTGTGACTAGGAAGCCAGGGTAAAGCAAATGAGAGAATACGAGCTGCACAAGAATTTAAACCGTGTTTCTCCATTCATAACGCTATAAAATACAAGTTTGACAGAAAAAGCTCAACCAACAGATCTGTGAAAAAGTCGCTGGCCCAACCATTCTCCTGCCAGGCCCAGTTCTGGTAGCCGGTTTCAACCAGCTGCGGGTGGTTTTTTTGGGGGGCCTGTGAATGATGGGAGCTTAGCACATTTTTATCTCTTGAGTTGATCCCATCAAATCAACAAAGCCCGTGTTTATTTACACACACGTCTATTTAAAAACCTCGAGTGGGCACCGATAAGAACACGATGGCTGCACAAAGGGCAAGTTGCGCTCTTGTTGCCAGAACTGGCCGCATCCAGATTTAACTAGTCACGTCGGTTGAGCAAACACTCAGCATTGACAATAATCAAGAGCTGCAATATTACTCAGCTAAAATAGCACAGTTTAGTGTACTCGACTTCTGCTGGCAGATCACAGACCGAAACATGCACCCCCTTCGGGGAAAAAAAGAAAGACCCTTCGCCACTGTGGCAGTTTCAATTTTGCCACTGTGGCAGTTTCAATTTAGTGATACTTTGCAGGTAATAAGCTGTGCGTGTTATACTTAGTCAGCACTTGGTATCTAGTAGAACTTCAATAAATGAATAAATTGTGACAAATGTTCACGATGGATTGGAATTATCTGACAGTTGGAGTTAGGCAGCATTCCGATACTGATATCTGCATTTTGAGAATGGGATGATTCTAAATGTTTACAGCTTCAATAAAGAAAATCTTAATCCGAAACGAGAATTGCTCTGCCATCCTCCCTGCATTTTTGAGAACGGAACAAGGCAAATGGTGAAAACCATAAATGATGAACCGTAAGACACGGCAAACGATGACAAAAAAGAGAACAAAATGTGTCTAAAAGCTGTTGCATCTTCTTTTTAAACCTGTACAAGCTTGAAACCCTGGAGGTAACAAATGACATAACAAGTTGCCGCATTTCGCCCCTACCTGGACAAGAACCCGTCGGCACAGTTTGGCCGCTACCAGCGATTTGGCCACCCAGCGAGCGGCGTAGGCAGCCGACCGGTCCACCTTGCTGACATCTTTACCAGAGAAAGCCCCCCCGCCATGGGCTCCCCACCCACCGTAGGTATCGACGATGATCTTGCGGCCAGTCAGGCCAGCATCGCCTTTGGGCCCACCTGAAATCGAAAGACACAAACCAAGACAGAGACTACATCAAAACCGAGTAAATAAACAATGAAAAGACAACAACAATAAAAATCGGATCAGAGGTTCCACCCAGGTCCCCTCTCTCTCTCCCTCAGAGCACAAAGCCCACACCTACCCATGATGAAGCTCCCTGAAGGGTTGAGGTGATACACTGTGTTTTCGTCCAGGTACTTGGCCGGAATGACCGCATCAATGACTTTCTCCTTCAGCGCCTTGCGCAGCGTCTCCTGTGTGATGTCTGGGTCGTGCTGCGCAGAGATGACAATGGTGTGCACTCGGAGGGGTATTAGATGGCCTTCTTTCTGTTTGTACTCAACGGTGACCTGAGACAAGCACAAATGTAATGTTAGCAAATCAAAATATGATCAGAAAAAACAAAATGGCAAACACAGTCAAAGCGGTACAACTCAGCACGTTCTGTTTGTTCAACACAAACCAGGTATTCTATCTTGGAATCAATGTTCAGTAATCATGTTGGTTAGATTGCTGCTGTAAAACCCCAAATACATTTAGGTTTCTTGATGATTTTCAGGTCCCTGACCTAGCCAACTAAGGAGCTACTGGTTGTGCACATTCTGATGAAAGTCAGCTGTGCACAATCTGTATCACGGACAAAGCAACCATTAACAAGTTCTAGCACTGACAAGGCTACACCCTGTGGTTGCCCCTGGCCCACAGCATGAAATCAACACCTCTCTACCTGTGACTTGCCGTCCGGTCTAAGAAACGGCACAGCCTTGCTCTTCCGCAGCTCGGCCATCTTCCTGGTCAGGCCATGAGCCAGGACGACAGTCAGGGGCATCAGTTCTTCTGTTTCGTCAGTGGCATAACCAAACATGAGACCCTGGAGATGACAACAATGGAGGATAGATGAAGAACGCTCCCGCTCTCTGGTAATTTGGTCCCTACTGTGAAATCCGAGTTCAGCAATGCACTGTGGTCTTTGTCTTGACCTCTGACATTGACCTTTTCAAAAAAACAGTGACCAGGTTAAGTACTCTGCGAATGGAAAGGATAAGTTTCACTCTACTATGTCCAAGGATCCCTAAAATTAAGTTCATGTCGTAACTTATTTCGCGAAAATTTCTGCCCCTCTTCAAGTTGTGAAACCGCTCCATATTCGTTTTTAGTTAATCTAAATAAAAGGTGTGCTTTCTTACACTTTAAACATTTGCCATGCCTTTCCATCTGACAAATTTATCAAACCCGAGACGTTTTTAAATACTAAGATTGCTGGATCCACCAAAAGAACCCACCACTGTGCAGCCAATCAGTTACACTTTCCTTGTACCCAGGCATGAAAATACGAAGTAAGACAAAAGTTTGGATACTGGGTGAGGTCAAGAAACTTATAGAGGTTTGTTAATTCTCAAATATAAACCCTAACTACCCGAGTCCCTAAAACCTTAACTGTGGATTTCGTTGATTCAGTACCGTACATCATGAACTTGTAGGTCAACTTTGTGAGATTGAGGAACAAAGGCTGGAATTTAGTTTAGTGCCTAGGGAAGTTGCTCCACGGAGTAACTGGCTCGTGGTACCATGTGTTGGACTGAGCTTGATTTGGTCAGTTTTGGTCACTTTTGGTGCTACTCTTCTGCAAGCCACCGGTTGGCCTGTACTGCAGAAATCTATTCATACCAAATGACTCAAACTTCAACCCTGATGACCTGTTAGAGTATGGTTTTGGAGGATTGAGGATGAATGGTTTCTGAAGTACTAAAAAATGGGTCACATAGTGGTGCATACACGTACATGTATGGCCACACATTATACTGTTTACAATATACCAGTACATGTACTCAAGGACAATGTGTTCCACTGTTCACTGCTGCTGGTCAAAAATTACACAATCCTCAACTGCAGTGTGTTAAAACAAAGGCACATATCTGCTTTGTTAATGACAAAAGTAAAGCCGTTAGCCAACTCTGCTAAAAAAAACCTGCGACCCAGCAACCAACCTGATGTGCCCAACCCTCCCCCTCCCCAAAACAAAAAAAGGACAAAAAAACTTAAAGTGCATGAAGTAGGGCCATGGAGGATTTTGGAGGATTGAGGATTCAGGTACCTTTCAATTTGTGCATAAGCCCAAAAACTGGAGGATTGAGGATGAATGCAGTTTTTAAAGTTGGGCAATCTGTGGGTCCATGGAATATTCCCAAGCCTGTGTGTACTTGACAAAACTGAAACACCGCAATGCTGAACCTCTTGAGATTTACACAAACCAGGCTAGGCACATTTGGCTTGGTAATACAAGCAACAACAACAACAAAAAAAGCACTAGGGAAAAAAAAGAAGAAGCACATCACCCATGCAAGGTTGACCTGGCCATGACACCCAGACACAAAGGCAATGACAAAAAACCTTCAGCAAATTCAACCATCTCATGATACCCACAACACTGAGTATATTATGTCACACACAGCAGCTGACTTAAAATACCGACTGACACACACATACCACAGAGTCCCACACACACCCATGACCACTCACAACTCATGCTCGGTAAATCACTGTGCATCTATTCCTGGGTGACCAACAGTACTACAGAAAGAGAGTGGGTGCATGCTATTGCATCATCCATCATGCAATGTTCCTACGACTTTTCAAACCTACTGAGCAATCAAAACTGGCTTTTCATGTTGCAAAAAAAGAAGAGAAAGATTTACATTCTGTCGAGTAAATAGCCTAAACAGATGTACTTCAAGAACTCTTGCTGGGAAAACTACACATGGGTTTTCGTTCACATGAATAGCAAGAAAAAAATTGGAAAAAGAATTTACATGTACAACTAATTGATTTCTGGTGCTACTTTTCAACTGGCTTTCTGGGTCGCTCTGATGAGAAAAAAATGAAGGATCCAAACCTACCTGGTCTCCAGCGCCGATATCGTCATCAGCTTTGTCGATGTGTACTGACTGTGCTATTTCCCCTGCCTGTTCCTCGATGGCCACCAAAACATTGCAGGTATCCGCATCAAATCCTGCAATGGGGGAGGGGAGCAGGCAAGGAATGGGGGGGGGAATCACAAGTGGTGATTATCTACACACCCATTCGGAAGAACAAACAGGACTCACTTTTAGGGAAGTGCATAAAACCAAAATTCTAACAAGAAAATCTGAAAGTTGTCGGGGGAGATTAATGCGTGAACATAGGTTGAAGATGCCATTCTTTCAAAAGAAAACTTCAAGAAAGTGGGACACTCAATCTTCTCCATTTTTTTTTTTTTTAATCTTCTGGCATTCTATTTCACAGTGTTGTCAAAACAAACGTTTTGACCAAATACTGTCAACGTTTATCTTCCCAACCAAAGCAAATCGCAACACGGTTGGGTTGGAATTCAAAACACACTTCAAAAGCCTGTTGTTTCAAGTACCTAGAATTCACTACAAAAGAAAAAAAAAACTTTCTTGTCTTCTTTTAAACAAATTTTATGGTTTGTAAACACAGGCCTTACAGCACACATACCTTTCACTGAGCTGTCATAGCCTATTTCCTTCACGGTGTCGCGAACCACTTTCTGGTAGTCGACAGTGGCATTTGAGGAGATCTCACCAAAAACCATCACCATGCCTGTTTTGGTAGCCGTTTCTGGATAGAAAAGGAGGCAATAGATCAGAAAAACAGCTATCAACTTGCCTGGGAAAGATTCCCTAAAATTCTCTTATCCTCTTTTCAGAACACAGATGGTCAAAAGACCTAATCAGGAATGCTGAAACTGCAATAAATGTAAGGAGGGACTCTGAACTCTTACTTTCACAGCACTTTTGCAAGACACAAGATTTTTTCTCCAGTTAGTTTGTCTACGCTGATCAAACCTACACCCCGACTCTCCTCTCTCAACTCGCACCATGCTGCACTGATCACCGGTCCACAAACACCACAGGACGTAGCATGAAAACATAATTTTTCGTTGGATTCAGCAGAGTCAGGGTTGATTGGGGAACATTTCCATCAAATACCAAGCACTGGGACCCAGCTTGTGGTATCTGACGATCAAAACATACCCTGCACACGGGCAAGACTGACTTTATCTCTATTCCCCCCCGGATATCTTTAACAGTTATCAGGATTCCACTACATCTCCAGAAACAGAAACATAAGGCACTCCGCCGCAACAACATTACCATCTCTGGGGTTCACACATTTTGAAAATTGAATTCTCCGGGGAAGGCTTCAACCCGGAAATGACAAAATTCCATCCCCTCTTCAGTGCCGCACTCTAAACCGTCACCAACAACAAGCCCAGTAAGCGTGAATTTGATCTGACAGTACTCACCACAGGCAACTTTGGCGTAGGGGTCTTGGGCCAGGTGAGCATCCAGCACAGCATCACTGACCTGATCGCATAGTTTGTCTGCAAGGGAAAAAAAATGAACACACAAGAAAACTGAGTGTCAGAGTTCAAATGAATGCACACAAGATAATCTGAGCTTGTAAGGTCAACTGTGGTGGCATTTTTGAGGGGTGGTTGTAAGGTCAATTGTGGTAGCATTTTTGAGGGGTGGCAGCCACAATGAAAAGAGGATATTTGGTTGTTTGATTCGCTGTTCAACGCTTTTTGTGTACCAAGCCGAACAATATGCTCCTGCAGTGGTCCATGTATCTCAACAATAAACCCTTCTTCTTTCCGTGCTAGTGATGCATGAAGAGTTTGGGCAGCCTCAGTAATTATGGTCAGTTTTACAGTACATGTAGTTGTCAGACCTGATTCTGTGGAATGAGTATTTGTCCAATACGCATTTTGCACGTAAAATCGGAATAACATCTGGTACACTGAGTCATCTGATTGCACATAAACATCACAATTTGAAATTCTCAGACTAGATACACTGTTGCCATACCTCATAATTCGGGGACAAGCTTGTTGCATAGCAACCACCATCTCTGGAATGGACTGGTTCCTTTGTGCCCTCCTTATCCACTGAGAACAGTGTATTAGTGGAAGGCGTCTCTTATGTAACTAAGAAAAAGCTTGCCCTGAATCACCAGATATAGCAACAAAGTGGAGTCTTTAGTGTGGAGAATTCAAATTGTTATGTTCACATGAATTCAAAGAACTCAGTGTACCAGATTTTTTTTCAAATTTAAATCGCAAAAAGCTAAGTAACCAACTGCGTATGTACACAAAATGCGTGGAAGTGAAATGGTCTTTTTCCACATTTTCAATTTGATATTGCACCAGCGGGGGGAAAAAAGAGTTTCTTTGTGAGGAAAATCATTTAGTCACAGGCAGCCAAGACAAAAAAAACCAGACTATTATTAAAATTATGTTAATTTATTAGAACAGTGTTGTGTCATGAATACCAGTGGTGGAAGCCAAAAATAACCTTCTGTTATACAATTTGGCGCATAGAATTTTCATACATCACAGACAAGCAGTAAGTTACGACTGATTTTAAAAATTATGCAAGCTAATTTACACAGGGTTTGACTCAATCTGAATATTTTTTGTACATGTACGAATAGAAAAAAATTAGCCCAGAAAATTCAGGCTTAACAAACCAGACCTGACCCCAAGGGCTTTTGGCAATCGAGCTTTCCCCCTGGTATCATGCAATGTGGCCCACAACTGTCAAGCTCAAATCTCTCAGGTATGACTTTTTCACAAAGTCCAGATTTCGCATTACTCTGAATTTCAACACTGCAACATCCCCGCTCCGTATTTTCAATGGAATTCCCCAAGTATATTTGCAGGGACACAGCAAAATGCAACTTCCAAGAACCACTGAAACAAAACTTGGCTTAGGTCCAAGTTTTTCAGCAGAAAATACTCTCAATTCAAATTACCAGTGCTTGCCATCGGGAAATCCCGCCCCTTCCCTTCAGTGGATGTGAAAGTTATGACTGGCTTTAAAAAGTGTGACAGTTCACTGACACAGGATTTGACTCCCAATCGTAGTACTTTTTGTACATGTATGACTAGAAAAAAAGTTGCCCAGAAAATTCAGGCTTAACAATCTTGGCAATCAAGCTTTCCTCTGGTACCATGCAATGTGGCTCACAACCGTCCAGCTCTAATCTCCCTAATAATGAGGACAAACACCGCTTTTCTGCCTTTATGTACCTCCCAGGAACGCTATTACATAACCTCCACCCTTTAGGCCAACAGCACCTGGAAAACTTGATGACCACTCAAGGGGAAGGTGCTGTAGACAGCAAGGATAAAGCCCAACCAGAAAATGGGAAAGATCACAAGTAGACTACTGTGGATGAACCAAACTGAAGGCGCAAAGGATTTTGGAACACTGAGAAAATCCAATAGATTTTTCTTACACTTTCACACTGACACTGTGTGGTAGGCTAACTTACAGATCATGTATCTGCTCAAGAGTTGAACAGATACCAGTAAGAAAACCCTGAAATTGTCTGCCAATGACAACTGGTAAGAAAAGGGATAGGGCATCATTCATGATGAGTTCTTGCCATGAATAAACAGAGGATAAGTAAGATGAGTCATAGTAGAATGTGATAACTGTAAACAAACCATGTAGGCACAGGGTAAAGGTAGGTTCCCATGTGTATGATGAGGAATGCACGGGACCAGTTCTATTGAAATGTACCAGACTGGGTCACAACATGCCCTCCTGCAAGAAAGCTTCTTTGCACAAGCACACACATGCTGAGAGGGACACACCATAGCTGATATGACTGTTTTTCACAAAGTCCAGATTTCACATCACTCTGAATTTCGACACTGCAAAATCCCTACTCCGTATTTTCAATGGAATTCCCTGAGTATATTTGCAGGGACACAGCAACAAGCAACTTCCCAGAATCGCTGAAACAAAAAACCTGGCTCATGTCCAAGCTCATGTCTCCAACAGAAAATGCTTTCAATTCAAATTACCAATGACTTGCCACCGGGAAATCCCACCCCAGTTCAGTGGATTTGAGCCAAGAAAAGTAAGTGGGAAAAAAAGGCCCACTGCCGGACATATTTCATAAAGAAACACACCTATCTAACTGCCAACATTTCCACAAGAAGATTACTTTTGACCCATAAAGAAGACATTACATCATCATCATCATCTTTGGTTTTACATCCTTCTTTCCCTACAAGCAGGAGTTGGACAGGTCCTCCCTATACTTGGCTTCACTTGCCGAGGGGGTCTTACTG